CACGCAGCTGTCCCATCTGAGCGCTTGTTCGCTTCCTCAACTGACTACTGCCTATTGGTCAAGGAGGAATTTCATGTGTGCTCACTACCTGTGTGCAAACAGAATGGCCCCGTAGTAATGGCTTCTAATTTTGGTCATCAGATTTGCCTATAGGAAGATGGGTTGTGCACCAGACCTTGGGAATCTTTATTTCATATACACATTTGAGGTAGAAGACCTTGATTCAATCTATGACATTATTAGGTAAGTTTGCATGGAATTCTGGGTGTAGAGAGTCTGGTCCTGGGGCTTTCCCAAGCTTCAGAAATCTAATAATTATTTGGACCTCTTCAATTCTAAAGCTACGGCACAGGTCTAGGTTCACCGAAGGGGCGTTCCAAGCATCTTTCAGGTCTGTGAAGTGTTTGTTTATTGCATGCGGCTGGAATGTTTAAGGTCTGTGTTCTTCACTATTTGTTTCCCCTTCTGGCTTCAAATTTCATCAAGGTGCTGCTGGAGTTTTGTGGTGTAATCGTCCTGCTCTGTATAAGTTTTTTCATTGAGAAGGAAAGCCAGATTTTGCACATATTGTCCCAGCCAGGGACATAGGGTTTCCTGTATCCCTGTGGGATGGAAGCTTTAGCTGCCCTGATGATAAGGTTAGTAAGTGCAGTGCAGCTGGCATTGACATCAGATTTTTCAGCATCTGGAAGTCACTTTTATTGAGGACATCTTTCAAGGTTTTCTAGTCTGCTTTGCATGAGTTGTATCTAAGTTGCTTAGATGGGGGGTTTGCTTGACAATTGCTGGGTCGGTAATTATAGGTCTGTGTTGTGACTTTGGAAACTTCTTGATTGCTGTTCTGTGAGCTTTTGTCCTGTCATTGGTGGTAATGAAGGTTAGATCAGGGTTTGTGCCAGTTCTCTGTCTGTCTGAGGTAAAGGAACAGGGTTGGTTGTCATATAGGAGGGCGAGTCCAAGGTTGAATGCCCAGTTTGCCAGGTTTTCACCATCTTTACTCATTTTGTTATAGGCCCATTCTGTTTGTTGGCAGGTGAAATCTCCAGACTAAATGCATGGGTGTTAATGAACAGGCAGGCTTTTGAAAGGCATTGACAATAGTAGTTTCCTTGATAGCCTGTGTGGAAGCATCTGGATGCTGCACGGGTTTGGAAAAGAATCTTCATAGATGTACAGTGAAGCACATTGAATCAGGTATGGACAGAAAACCCAATCTACATGTCAACCAGGGTGGGATTCGAACCTGGCCGTGAAGGTAAATGGAGAGAAGAATACTGCTTCACAAATGTTTATTGCCTAATGAAATCTTTTTGTTTTTGATGCTGTCATCCTGTTTCAGTATGATTGACAATTAAAAAACTAATTGTCTTACGTCTGTGATTTGGCCCTGTAAGCTTTAATCAACAATATTGGATAGAATACATTCAGAACAATGCAACAAAAATATCCTGGAGAAGTCTGTGATTTACAAAAAGCTGTGCCCTGGCCATTTGTGGATGCTACTTGAATCTGAGTCTACTTTTCCATGAGATTCATAATTTACAGGGCAGGTGACCATGTTCTGGTATATTTTTTAACCCCAGTGGTTATGTCCTTGCATGGTCAAGAAACCTTTAAGTTCATGAATTATATTTGATGGCTATTTTGCTTACCTGAAGAATGTCTTTTTGAGAGTTTGGAAATGGACGTATTCCTGTAGATGAAGCACACAAAGAAGCCATTTGCGAGATTCATTTGAATCGGTTTTAGTGTCTCAAGCTTTTATGTGTAATGTGCCACATGAGTCCCCAGTCTTAATGCGCTGTTGCTGTATCACATGATTCCAGTGGGCGTAGCGAAAGCATGAAAGCCTGAATTTATCAAGTGGGTGTGAAGTCAGTATGCAGACCAAAGGCCCTAAGCAGTGAACTGAAATTTGTTGTACAATAATGAGAAAGGAAAGCAGGGATTGTTTTGCACCAATAATATGTAAATAATTCACATTAGTCAGACAAAAGGAAGTTTGATGTCTCTACTATTCCTTCAATCCATGTTTGGTTTTATGGCAAGAATGGTCGGATGTCTTTGTGCTGTTCTCCCCCACTTTAAACTACTCTGTTGTTGTCAGGCATCCCGAACACAATTTCTGTGAATGAGCTGACCTGGATTCATGTGATATAATGTTAACGGCTGCTAAACTTGGGAAGTGTTGTGCGTGAAGTGTTTTTATAGTGTGAACTAACCAGAATACCTACCAGAAGTAATTCAAATTTGCCACGCAAATGGGCTCTTGACGTTGATGTACATTATGAAACCAGCAAATAATTGTATTGATTGTCAGAAAGTTGTTTGTGTGCAGTAGGAATGAGGTGCACTGCACATAGTTGTACTATGCAAATCATGTAGGGGTAAACACCGTTCGCCATCAAAGTAACCCGGGTCACCTGACTTCACTATCGACAAGGCTTCACACCTAGCATGTAAGCTCATCTGGTCACTATAACGAGCGTACAGAAGCAGATAGTTTTGCTGCGTGATGTTTGTATTTATAGCCACTCAGCAGTGGTGATAATGTGCTTTGTTGGTGCCTGCTCACATGAACATGGATATATTTGTCATTTGTACAAGTACATGTATCAAAATACCCCAGATATCTAAATGATGGGAGAAAATTGGCCCAGAAAAACCTGAGTTGCTTGATTGCAGTCATTGTTTTAAGGCAGTGATACGGAAGACGCAATCACTTTGATGGTGAACTGGTGGGTGTTGCCCAGCAACCATTGCCCAGCGACTTTTGCTGTAACAGTTTCCTAGCATTTGTTTCTGAGTAATGTCACCAAGAAAAATAATCTGTCAATAAGGATATTTCTAGGATTATAGGTAAATGGAAAAAATGTATTTTCCCTTTGTAAAAGAAAAACCTCTATACGTATTTGAACCTGCAAAAATTTGTATTTATGATCTTTCTGTATACATTTTATCCAGAAATCTTTCAGAGTTTAAATTTTATTGTGACATAGTGTAAAATAGATGTAAGGCGTTAAGAATGCTTCGTGTGTACCATACAGAAACATTTTATTAAACTGTCTAGTTAATTTAGAAAGTGTTGTGTCACTTGTTTGTCGATGTATTTTGCAAATTCTTCAGTCACTTTCTGTATAACTTTATATTGCAGGAATGCGACTGAGAAGTCAGGAAAAAATTCAGGCCAAACCAAACTTTGTACACTGATTCTGAATTCTAATGGAAATGTGGTATAGTCAAAATCGAAAAACAAGAAAAAGAAAAAGAAAAAAATAAAGAGAAAAAGGAGAGGAAAAAAAAAAGAAACATTGATCCGACTTAAAAAACCATACATTGGCAACAAGTTGTGACCTGGATCAAGTTTTAAAAGTGGATGATTGCAAATATGAAAATCTGAAAAAATATGAAAATCTGAACTCTGCATAAATAGTAAAGTACTCACTTTGAAATAGGAATTGTGTTGCTTGTCAGAAGATGGACATACTTCTTAAAACCCTATTTTTAATCCTTTTTTATGAGACCCACACAAACTTGTAACTATACATGTACTTGTGACAAATGGTGCTGACCTTGTGACACAAACCGTTGAACGTCCATCAGGCTAGATACGAGCAGGGTATCTCCCACTTTGTTCTTGTCTCTAACACCTTGATGGCCAAGATGGTTCTGTGTTGGAGGATGTTGTCAAGCACAGACTTTCCTCAGTACTATCTTTTTTTCTTTTTAACTCAGACAGGAATTCAAATGAAGGTATTCAAATGACACTTTGTCACAGCACTCTTACCCAGGTATGTGTATTTACATAATGTGTTTTAAAGTCAACCGTTGAGCAATTTTTTTTAATGTTAATAATCTGTGTTTAAGTGAGATTTGAAGCTTTGCATGGTGGAAGAGACATGAGAAATGGGTTTTCGGGTACACCATGGAATCAATCTCTTTTGGGGGAGGTGTGGTCCTTAAAAGAACCGGTGAGTGTTAACTCAATGTTTCGGCCAGTGTGCTCTGGCCTTCCTCAGGAGAGTGTGCCGGATTGGAGTGGATAACAGGTTATAAAGGTAATCAGGAAGGGGTGGAGCGTGGAATGGGATTTGCGGGTCGTGTGATTTGTTTGGTTTGTGCGTTGTTGCGTGAAGGTGTTGGATCCTGGAATTGACGGGGAAACCTTGGGTTTGGGTATAGGGGACCCTTGTGCCAGGGGGGACGGGGGTGGCTTCGGGTAGAGAAGACTCTTACGCCTGGGGTGGGAGACATGGGTGTTGGGTACAGGGGACCCTACTGCCCGGGAGTGGATGTCTGCTTGGGTGCTTGTAGTGGGCGCCAGATGCCAGATTCCATGGTGTACCCACAAATCCATTTCTCAATCAGTGTTTACTTTCCCTGTTCACCTTAATAATATTCAATAAGATATACATTTGATAATACCATTCTTAAAACAGCACAGATTCATGGTTTTTATGCACGTTAACCTCTCAGCACGTGTCAGCAGTCATGAAAGATGGCTACTGCTCTGTGCACAAATACTCCCTCATGGGCAATGAAGAGAAAAGCTGGAGGGGGACTGTTTCAAGTGGATGCCCAGCACCCAGGCCGACTCTGTGCATACCAATGTAAATTGGCCATACTTGCTGCACGCTAAATGCGCACTAACATGCATGCCAGCACGACTCGCACATTGAACAATACGTGCTGTCACTGTGGGGACTAAGTTGTTATGTTCCCGTAACTCAATCCTGAATTTCCTAACAAAAGAAATTGTCTGTCAATGCAGGGCCAGCAAAGGCCTGCCTGCGTACACACACGGTGTGGTGGCCGAAGGGAAATCATTGCCATAAATAAAACAAGCCCCCTCGTGTTATGTATAGAGACCAAATAAGTCTGAACCAGTACATGTACACCATACATGTGTGTCAGCCCAATGGGATGTCACGGCTGGGACAAAGGAGACTTCTTTCTTGACAGGATCCAAAGTTAATACATAAACATATGAACACACTCAGTTCAGTTTTGCTTTTGTTTATTAAAATCAATGTGCTTTCAGGAATGCATAAATAAACATGCAAATGATTTATGTACAGGAACTGCATGTGCTATACAGATTCAGAAATGTACACAATAAGGTTGATAATAAATCTCTCATTCTTTGGGACAAATTTACAAAGTCAATGGTTACACAGAAGTTAAGAAATATAGAACACCAAAATAAAATAATGCACAGATCTAAGACCTTGTTGTGAAGACACTGTAAGTTTTTGGTATGATGCAGCTACATTTTGCGTTATTAAAGAGCACATTTCCTACAAAGGGATGCCAGGCAGATTCTTGTCCAGAGCCTGAAATGAAGGCCAAGAGAAGCCTCACTACACCTTGTTAAGGCCTGAAATTGGCCAAAAACCTCAAGTGAGAATGCCAAAATCAGGTTATTGCCTGAAAAATGGCATCCCTGTGTACGGCCATTTATTTCACTACTACATAAATGTCCTCATGAGTGCACTACAATTTTATTTTGAAAATAAGCTGAAGCACCTTTGAATAATTGTATTTTTAATTTCTTATAAAAATTTTACTAACTTTTTAAGACTTCATTTAATTTGTTGTTTTTGTTTCACTTCAATTTTCTTTAAATATCCCCAATCCCCAGTTCTACATGTCAGATCAGCTTTGGGAGTTTAATTTTACTCTGTTGATTTAATAATTTTCTTAATTTAAATGTGATTATGAATTATGATTTCTAAATAGCAAATTCAAAGGAGTTTCATATATAGATATGCAATAGGACCTACAATGCCATTTGATTATGGCCTAAAATTTTACATCTATCAATTTTTCTCTGAAGTAAAAAAAAGCATAATAAGAAAAGAATTTTAAATTTTGAATTATGATTTGAACTGCAAGAGTGTAAGGGAAATAGCCTAAATTTTGTGATTAAATGTGCGCATCAAAAAGGACTAGAAGCTAAAAACTCAAATTGCGAATGTTTCACAACCCTGTTTAAATAGTTTTACACCAAAAATCTTTTTGTAACAAATACGTCAAGTGATCCAATTGATATCAGGTAACCCATGCTTAGACCACCCTTTGTAGCATTTCACCACAATTACAGGCAAAAAGTCAGGCAGTCATCACACACACATCAAATCCAATTTATAAAATCCTATCCTGAACTACCTGTATTAAATGATTACAAGAATTCTACTTCACAAATTTTGTTGGAGCTCATTGATGGGGTCATTCTATGTGCTAAAAACAATCCATGAACATTTTCCATGGAGATTAATTTATTTTCTTATTAAAAGCACAAGGTAACTTGGTGCTATGTAATGTCATACATAGATGCTTGCAGTAAACAAACATATACACCTACCATTCAAACTTTCAACATTGAACAATACCATTACCAACTATTAAAATAAGGCCTTGGAGTTGCTAAAACAAGGGAAAATGTCAATATGGCAAAAGAAAAGAATTCTTTCAACTGTGTGCAGTGTCTGAAGGGTATAAACTGACACATTTCATAAAGGACGCTTTCACTTTTACGGATAGAAAAAAGAAACAGTAAACCAACCTGAGATTTTCAAGTGATTAATTAAAGCAATTTTTGGCAGAGTTCAACAAAAATCACTCGGCACTAGGAAACACAGAAATGCTGCTTTCAGTCTGTGGATATACATGGCAATTAGCAGTCACATACAAGTGAATTCCCCCCAATATATTCTGAGATGGTATAAAAATCAAACTCACCAATCACAAATTCACTCATTGCATGCATATTGAAAGACATACACTTCACAACTAAAATGTAACACCGCCACGACTTATTCTACTGGGCCTCGACTGGCTGGTACTCTGCGACAACACTCTTGTTAGACTCCTGACCTCCTGTGACCTCTATTGTGTTGGATGGGGTTGAGGGTCGCGGGCCAGCCTCGGTTGGGTTAGGCGGCGGTGGAGGTGATGCCATTGACCTCCCACTTTGGGGGCGGGTGCTGGTCGAGCGCTGAGTCTGGAGGCGGGATTGTGGGCGACCAGAGGTTGGTCTGGATACCTGGCGCTCCGGAGTGGACTTGGAGAGCTCATTGTCGCGGCGATTGTCCTGGCGGGAGCTACCTGGACGAGACAGCCTTGCAGATGATAGCTGTGTTGTGTGGTGAGAGAGTAACAGAAATTCACCAGTAAGCCAAACTGTATAAAACATACCTCTAGCAAAAGGAACCCTCTTTACCAGCAATGCATCATGGGATAAAAGTCCACATCGCTTTTCAGATATTGCCACATTAATGTTGTTCTGGGTGGCATTGACAAAACAGCTTTAACCTGTTTTTGGTCATCTATGGAAGTTGGAATTCCTTTTACAAGTGATTTTATTATTTACTGAGGCTTCTAAATGCATTTGTGTTAATGTGGTATGCACATGAAATGAGAGGATGGATGATTAATTGCAGATCAACCACATGCAAGATGTTGATAGACTTGACGCAGAAGGTGACAAGTAGTGCACCGAGGAGAATGCTTTGTTAGGCATGGTATTGTGAAGTCCTTTTGGGCCATCAACGCTGGCTTCACTGTATGGGTAAGTTGCAGCCATTTTGTTTCTGCCCCAACAGCTGGTCTCGAGCACTTAAGAAGGGAGACGTCTAAAGCTCATTCACAAAATGATCAATCAGCAATAAGTTCTATGCAGCTTGGCATAATGAGCGTCCTCGACTGATCACAAACACAGCGATTAGGTTGGCTCCCACCTTTTGCGGTGCTATTGTGGGCAATCTCTCCAGGTCGTCGGGTCCTATGCGGCCTTTGTAGATGTGACCATCTTGACCTTGTATGTCTGCTTCAATCCTGGATACAGAGGGCATAAAGTAAACTGTATTTACTAAAAGGCATTTGTAACACTACACCATCAAATACTGAGGCAAACTCGATGTGAGTCTTGCATATTGCTCCGCTGCAGTGTGGCCACACATTTCACTAGGAATGTACAAGAATATTAGTGCAACTGTCTCAATGAATGTATCCAAAGCAGTATTGTGAAAGGCAAATATTTTTCATATCCACAACTTAATA